ATAGGAAGACCTTGGAGAGGAGGTAATACTTGGGAGTCCTACTTGGAAAACCTTGGGGCAGAAGGTTAGAGGGTAATAGAAAGTTTGCAAGGGAAGAAAAATGTCAAGACATTTCATTCAGGGAAACACATGCCCAGAGAGTAGTGTGAAGGCAGGAAAAATAAGACTAGAGAGGGAAAAGTAGTGCTTGAATTTGAGCCACCTGTCTCCGGGTCTATGATTTTCTTACTTCCTACTAGTCTCCTTGGACTGATAGCATAGAAGCTAACAGCATGGGATCTGAGGTGACAGAGCCTGGGTTTGCATCTCAACTCTGCCCAAGACCTTGACCAGCTCATGTAATCCCTTTGAAATTTTCTCAAAAATTAAAAAAACAAACAAAACAGAAGTATCAACAGACCTAGCCAACTATGATTATTAGGAGGATTATAATAAAAATATGGCAGCCATGGAAATAGAGAAATTAGCTCAATGTGTGAACATTAATTGCAACATTGCTGTTAGCATATTAGTGATGGGCTTAGACCTGCTCTGGTGCAATTGAGGTCATGTGTGAGAGAGGGCTCCTGTTGACATTGCACATTTTCACTCAGGCCAACCATTAGCCCATCTGATCTCCAAAACAGCCCTATAAGGTTGGCGGCATCTCACATAGCAAAGAATGGGATTTGTTAAGTGTCATCTCCATGGCAAACAGCAAATCAATAGTACTGCAGAAACTGGACACATTCTTTTTGGATTCCCAGTCCAGTTACAAAGGGTCTGCATCCATTAGACTGGGAGTTACTGGAGGAAAGGTATAAATCACAAAGAATCAATGTGTACTCAGAGATACATGCGTATCTCAGAGTTGATTCTCATATTTAAAATCCAAGACACTCCAGATACACCTTTGGAAAACTTACTATGTGGACAGGCAAAGCATGGTTGGCAGAAAATTCAGTCTGGACCAGGCAGAGCTAATCAGAGGAGGAGAAGAGAGAGAGTAGCTAGAGCCATGCTCAGACTAACTTTAAAATATCTCCCTAAAACTTGCCTAGTTCTCAAAGTATGAAGGGATGGAGAGGTGACTATAGGATTCTGACAACTCCTTGTGCAGATTTGCAAGAATCCTGCTAACCCTGGCTCCAGTGTTTCCTTTTCCAAATTTACATGGCCTCAAGCTTTGGGGGAACCATGGGACTCTAGAGAGTATGACCAGGGCATAAAATTGAAACCTGGGGACATATGCATATAATTTCACATCCCACAAACATTAAAGTGTAGAATTTCTCATGTATGAGTGGCCAGTAAACACCTTTAACCATTGAGATAAAATTGGTTAAGGCACAAAGATTCAGAGAATCCCACCTTAATTTTCATTAAAGACACCCCAAATCCCTATGTATTAACTCCTTGGCTGCTAATTTCTGAAAAGGAGGCTGTCAACTATGTAAGGTGGGAAGTTGAGGGGGGTACTCAGGACCACAGGACCAAGCCAGCCATAGGGCTCTCTTTATGTCAGGATTCAAATGGTACATGTGAAAAGGAGGTAATTGTTACTATATGTTGGCACCCATACTAGAACATTCCAGGGTCTACATGTGATCAATAGATCCAGGAGAATAGGGGAACCATCATTGCTGTGACATGGGTAAAACCACACTGGTCATCAACTCTAACAGAGACAGGCTCCTGGTACCTGTCTTAAAATGCTCATATAATCCTGTATATCCCCATGTGTTCCTGATTATGTATGGTCCCACACTGAAAGAAGCCCAGTCCAAACAGTCAAGGGTCATACCAAAATAAAGAAAAATAAATAAATAAAATCTGAACTTTAACTTGCATCCTTTGTAAACTTTTGGGGAGTCTCATGTAAGTGGCCCACCAGCACCTCATATCCCATTTGGCCTTTAGTCTTTGGAGACCCTCTCCCTTATTACAAAACCAATGCAAGCACGAACAAAACCCTCCTCCGGCTTTGGCGGTCTTCCCCTCCATCTCTTCCTGCCTCTCTCTTTTTTCCAATCTCTAAATGTAAATTAGTTTTAATTTCTTTCATTAAGCCCTTCCCTCAGCCCTTTGAACCTTAAGTCCTTCTCTGTTCTCTGGTTCTCTGTCACAAAGGAAACCCCTAGGAGGAAAAGAAAGACTCTGGAGAAGGGAAGAGAGTCCTAATACCATTAATGGCGAGCCCCTGACATGGAGCCACTGGGAATATCTATATTTCCTGGAAACCTCTGAGGCTGTAGCTTTAGGGAGACTTTGAGTCAGTTGAATCTATCAGGAAGAGAAAAAAAAAAAAACAGAGTGGCTGTGTGCGTGCCCATGGAGGACAGGGAGAGGACCCCAACAGGCTCAAACCAGTGGAGGGAATACAGCAGGTGTGCTACCTCTGAGAACCCCAGGATCCAGGAACTGCAGGTGATGATGGGACCCTGAAGAGATGCTGATGTGGGGATCCTGAGCCCTGGGGATTTGTCTATTATTTGGAAATTTCTTTTCCTTTAATATCTCTTCCTTCTAGCTGTGGACAGTGGTATAACCAGCAGTGAGTTAGTAGCAGATTGAACTGCCTGACGTGTCCCTGTGTTTATATATAGGATTGGAGTTGGAAGACATGCACAGAAGCAAAGGAGCCCACCATGCTCTTGTCTGCCCTTTGAGGCATCTCTAGACAGAGGAGGATGCTGTAGGTTAAGTGGAAAGAGTACAGACCTATGTCTAATTTCTCTTTCCTTCCCCCTTCTCTCCTGTCCCCCTCCTCCCTAAATCCATTGGTAAATTGTCCTATCAACGAGGTCAAAAATGTTTCATTTTCTCAGAAGATACAGTATACCCAAACACTGACCAACATCCCCACCCCCCCACACACTGCCATGATGTCTTCAGTTTTGCTTCCTGGGAAGACATGGCGATCATGTGACACCCTTGGTTGAGTTTGAGGAAGAGGGTTTTATAGAAGTGAGACATGATGAAGATATTCAGAAGAGGTTAAAACTACACAAAAGACTCACTTCAAACTTCCTCCCACCGTGGAAACAGAGAGCCCCTTCCTCCCTCCCAGAAAGTCACACATTTCAGAAATAGCTGTTGAGAAGGAAGTGAAATTTCTTCACAAGCTCACAGACGACGGTGACGTGAGTTAAGCCAGGCTTTAGAAAGAGCAAAATTGGAAGAGCATATCTGACTTACAAATCAGTGGCAAAGAATGAGGAAACTCTGGGTCTGTCCAGGAGATATTCACTTTTATTAAATTGGTCACTGTTTCCAGGTAGACAATCCCAAACTCCCCTCTGCCTCTAATATGTCGGTGATGCTAAGAAACACGGCAAAGATCTCTTAAGTGCAATGTGCTTACTGCCCACATAGAGATTGAAGCTCATTTTCTACCTTATGTAACACAGTGGACTCGTCCCTGAGATGGACAATATGGTGGTGCTTTACCATGATGAGCTAATGACAATGCAGGGCTGTCTTTAGCCCCTTGAGGGCTCCTTGGCCCCAGTGTCCCCCCCAACCCCGCACCCACAGGGGACATCTGTGGCTGGATGAGAACCTTAACTCTTCAGCCATCCTGCTGGGAGCTCAAGGAGAAATGATGGTATTAGATAAAAGGTGTAAGAAAGGAGGAGGTCCCTGCCCTGAGCTATCCTGTCAGAAGAGGGACTGGCTGATTCTAAGCAGAACAGTGAGCGAGGGACAGAGGGATGTTCTGGTGCCTACATGGTTGACAGCATGGCACCAAACCAGTATTTTTGAATCACTGACAGCTGGAGATGGGAACATCACTTTATTGAAAAAAAAAAAAAACAAAAAAACTGTGCATTCGTATTCATGTGGTTCCTAAAGTAGAAGCTGGAATTAGTCTTTGGGACATTCCTTTCTTTTGTTCTGGAGGGGAACAAGTTTCTCAAGCATCTTTCCTCCTATACATGGAGATGAGTTCCTGGCCCTTGTTCTTAGGGTCATCCAGAACTCTCTGTAACCAAACCAAGAGCTTTAGGCTCAGTTGTTAGTTTGGTCAACACTGTAAAATGGCTATATTTCCTGGGGGCAGGGCATGTTGGCACAATAGATGTTATAAGGTAGATACATGCTTTGTTGGCTCTGGCAGACTGAGGAGTGGGAGGGTAACTAAGATTGATGCTCAGATGATGAAACTGGGAAGACATGGAGATGGTAAGCAGGCATGGCCACGTGGTGACAGGCAGCAGCTAAGGAGATGTGATCAGGAGGAATAACCCATAACACTCAGGACACTGCTAGCTGATATTCATCCTTTGTATTTCCTTCCCCTCTCTGTAATTCTCTAGTGTCATCCTCAAGCCTTATGAATCTCTCTCTTAAACAGAAGATGCTGGGGTCTTGGGAATAAGGGACACATCTGCACTCTTGCTTTTCATCCGCAATGCAATTTGGAGAAACACACACAGAGTATGGGAAAACTGTGTTCATTGGCCTGATGGGCCCAGAGAGGCATCCTGTTGAGAGGTACCGAGCAGCAACGACCAGCTGGGAAGGTTCTGTGAGACATGCAGTCAGAAGGAGCCTGGAGTAGGGGAGTCTCTGGGACTCTCACAGAAGTTTGAGGCCAGCCTGGAATTCAGCTACTGGATCCGATGGTACGAAAGGTAAAGCATCACTTTCTTGCGATTGTACTTCTAGGATCATCTATCTTTGTGGACCTCCCCAGCTATCTTAGAACATGAGCGATCACAACAGAACAGTTAACTCTAAGAAGGCTCATTTCATGATACAGAGTCCAGAGGCATGATAACATGGTCTACCCATGGTTCCATGAGAAATTGGCCTTCTCTGGGCCACTTGTCAAGCAGGCAGAACACACTCTCCCAATAACAACACAAGGAGCCACAGCTGGCTCAAGTATTTCAGGACCTCAACAGTCATCAGATCACTGCTGGACAGGGACCAACAGAACCTGGCCATGCAGGGCAGTCATGGCAGTGGGGTCACCTAGGATCAACAAAGTCTTCAGGGAAGAGTCAGAGACTCACCTCCTTTTGATGGTGAGCATCACGCCCAGCAGAATAATGATGAACATGAGGAGGCCAGCGATCACGCCCGCCATCTTCACCGTGTTGTCCACCTGCTTCTCTGGCTCCACAGTGTTAGAATTCTGGGTGGAGGCACCTTGGAGGGGAAAAGGGAAGGAGGAAGGTGTTGAAAAGGCTTCAGACAATAGTCATCATAACAAGTGTTTCCACTTCCAGAGAGCTAACTAGGTGCCAGGCACTGTGCTAAGAGCTTTGTACACCTTGTCCCATTAGACCCTTTTGAAGATGAAGAAACTGACATGTGGAGAAATTGAGTTTCCCAAGATTCCATAACTGCTGTGTTAGAGCATCCTTTTCCTCTGGTGAGATCAAGAAGCACTTTGTTCCTTGTACTGTTTTGTAACTGGGATCCAACTTTGGAACCTCCATTTGGTTCTTGGGTTCGCAGGATTATTCCTAACTCTGCTTTATTCTTTTAGATAAATGGTGAAAATAGTAGCTGTATATTAAGGTAACACAATTAAAACCACTGGAATTTTAAAGATAGAAAGAGTTTTTGCTTTGTTCCCTATGTGAAACAAATGGTAGGGTAAAAATTTAGTGTATCAAAGGGAAGTGCATTGGATTCACTCCAAGTTTTGGCATTTAAGCTAATGCTATGCTCTATTGGGGAACAACCTTGGACTCAACCCTGATAGAGGAAGGTGGGGAACCAGCCACTTAATCCTGTGTTTGGCAATTTACAGATCTAAGCTTGGTCAATCCCACAAACATTCTAAATGGTAGATAGTGATTTTATCTTGCTAGAAGTCACATGATTGATGAAGTTAGGGCCAGCATTCTATAAGTTTAGGGCTCCAAGTTTAGGCCTCAGTGGTCAGAAACCTTGAACTCAACATTGAAGTTCCCAAGTTCCTCAGTCTCCTTCTTCCTACAACAACCATTTTGCTTATGGCACAGAAAAATTAGTAACCAAAGAATGCCAAAACCCAGCCTATGCATGCTAGGTACTAGGGATTGAAGGTAGTTTCCTGTTTCAGACATTCTGGAGACAGGTCCAGGGGTTACCAGCACCCTAAGTCAATGTCCTTTTACTGTCTTAGGTTCCCATGGGTGCCATGTTTGTGTGCAGCAGCTCACAGTCCAAAGTATCCTTTTCCTAAACCATCCCTACTATTCTGCCACATCCGTACCAGCTTATGCTTCATCAACCAGTATCACTTCTCTGGTTGCTTGTACCCCTGGGAGAGTTTCTCTCTCCTCTAAATTCTGATAACACTTTATAACATTTCGCACATACCTCACAATATCTCTTACCACAATGTAGTGATATTATTAGTTATTTGTTTCCACATCTGTCTCCTCCACCAGTCTGCAAGCTCCTCAGAGGCAAGATTATGCCTCATTTATCTTTGTTTTCCCATGTTAGCAGAGAGCCTAACTCATAATAGGGGCTCCCTAAATGTTAGTGCTTGCTCGGTGTTTAGCTAAAGGGATGATGTTTCTGCCCACACACATTTGTTCTTAAGGAATCAAATTGAATTTTCTCCTTTTTTCCGTCATGTATTCACAGAACTCGGCTGAGTCTTGAGTTTAGGGATGCTAATTCTCATAAGCTTTGGTTCTGGCTCCCCAAACTTACTTATGTTTCAGAACAGCCCTCCAGCATACTGATGCACCTTTCTTTTTGCTTCAGAGTGTAGAGTATTTCCTCTCTCACAGCACTTTCCTCACATTGCCTTAACTTGGAGAAATTCAGTTTACTAACCAAGTGTCCCTAGTGGATACGGTTAAGAGTTCAAGGCTAGAGACTGTGTCATGTTCACCTAATGCCAGGCTCTAGGACAGGCCTCCCTCAGAATTGTTTAGTGGATGATTATGGAGTGGTATAAAGGTGTGTGGATCAGACTTATTTACTTGTTTATTAATTCAATCAGGCATTATTTTGCTACAGTGCACCCATGTGCTATGTGCCTAACTATGTGGTCTGTAAGGTCAGAGGGCCTTCCCCTGAAGCACTATTGGATGAGAATTTACTCATCCTTTTACTAGCTACAACTCATCAAATCCCAGGGCTTTTGAGAAGGGTTTGCCAATCTACAGTGTAGAGACTTTCTCAGGAATTGGTCAACTACCTTCTTAGCAGCTCCAGTCTCACATTCCAGAGAAAGGGCTTGTTCTGAGTGGCTCCTTGGTAGCCTCCATTTCCCAGATTGGAAGCATGACTTCCAAGATATGGTTAGTCCACCATGTACCAAGCTCAAAGGAGGTAGAGCACCTCAGATCACAATTCCTTCAATATTGACAGAATTTTATTTGGATTGAGAGCAGATGTTGGCTCTGGAGCAGTTATTCATTGACATACATTACTTTGTCCTATTCTAGAGACTGCATTATAAAGGCAAAGAGCCCCTGTAGAGGATGTTCTTACTCTATGAGCACTACTATCAGCTTGGGTCTAATGAGATTCATGTTTCATTCCTTCAGTAAATAATTACAAGCACCCACTGTATACCAGGCATTTGGGGAGCAAAACAGGCATAGCACCTGCCCTCAAAGGGTCTATAATTAGTGGTGATTTGGGCTAGTGGGATATTACTAATAAGTTAAAAATTAACGATAGCAAACTTTGAAGTCCTATTTAGGATTTGAACAGAGATGTACAAGATACTTGGAAAGTGCATAGAAGAGAAATGAGTCACTTCTGGGAGAAAGTGTCCACCAGGGTGAGCTCCAAGTTTGTAACTAAGGAAAGGATTCAAGAGAAGTCTGTGTGGTGGGGCAAGGAGCCTGTTGCATTCAAAAGATATAGTATAATAAGAGTGAGAAAGCAAGGAGAACAGGCTCAGAGAAAAGCTGCAGAGGGCAGCAGGAACCAGTGCACAAGGAACATTACAGGCCACATGAAAGTTTTTGTTCTATAGCCCAAGAAACATAGAAAGCCATTTTAATGTTATTCATGGAACAATGATATGGTCAGATTTGTATTTCCAACAATCATTCCAGATTCAATGTGGAACCAAAGGGGATTGGAGAGATGAGTTTTGAGACCACTGCAGGCATCCAGGTGGGAGACAAAAGTTGCTTGACTCACGTGATGGAAGTGGAGATACACAGATAAAATAAAAGACATAACTCCCTGGACTAGATATAGATAAAATCTGTTGATGAATAAGTTAAGGGAAATAAAGGAGAAAGAACTGTCAAGGAGACCACGAATCTTTAGTTTGCGTGACAGCGTAGAGGATAGTGTTATTTATGGATTCTAGAAACAATGGTAAAATAATAGCTTTAGAGGGAAATTGTGTATGTGTTTAAGGCAGTTTGAGCTTGAGAGATACTTCAAAAACTTAGATAGCTAAAAATGCAGGACTAGAGTTTGGAAAAGAGGTCTGATGTAAAAAATGTGTGAGTCATGTACATAGATGGTATTCAAAGCATGGGAGTGGATGAAGTCATCCAGGGAGAGAGTAAAGAGTGAAAAGAGAAACAGACTCCAAATAGAGAGACGAGGGTCTATGGTATTTGTTGAGTGGAAGTGGTAGAGGAAGTTAAAGGTGCACAGGAAACATAGGGAGTGTGCAGATAGGCAGGAAGAAACCCTGGGAGAGTGTAGCATCCAAGAGCTAAAAGAACAGTGTTTCAAGAAGGAGGGAATGATCAACTGTGTCCAATGGTGTTCCCAGGGTAGAATCAAGTTCTGTGTCCAAAGGAAGGTGAAGAATATATTGACAAGTATTAGATTGCCCTTCTCCCCCGCCCCCAATTCTAAGATGTTCCTAAACAGAATCACCTTCAGCTGTGACCATGGAACCAAGAATAGACCATATTTGAGAGTCACAGAGAAGTATCCAGGGGACTTAGGGAGGCCATCTGAAAAGCCAGAGCCCAGTGGTTTAGCCCAGTGGTTTAACAGGCATTAGAGCTGAATGCACAGACACCAACAGTGAGATGATCAGGAGGGGCCATGGTTGACTGGTCTAACCAGTCTTCAGATACGGGGATGTGATCATGCCCTGGGATGTGGAAAATCCAACTTTCACTTAAGCACTCTTTTAAGGGAATTTTCTCTCATCTCTGGGGATTTGTGCCTCTGTTCATATAGGAAGGCAACAGAGTTCAAAGGTGCTATGGATATAGAGGAAATGGCTCTAGGACCAAAGGCCAGACTGCAGTCATGTGTGGCTCCTATACTTGAGTGGAAGAAAAGAAGAAGAGACAGAAGTTGGATAGTCCAGCTCCCACCGCAGAGTCAGGAGGTGTGTCCACAGGGCTCACATCCTGAGTGCACAGTGGCGCAGACTGAGACCTGTGATGGGAGTTGGAGAGAAGTACACCAGGTGTGGCTAACGATGGTGCTTCCTGGCAAGGTGAGGGTCTGCCATTACTGAGCCCTCATAGAAGGCTGGCTGGCTGGGGCCCAAAAATCCAAGGGAGAATTTTCAAAGAGGTAGAAGAAGCCTATCACTGAGATGGGGTCTGGATCACTTTTGTCCTCAGTTACCCTTTTCATGAAAGTCTGGCTTAGCATCAGCCCCAGTCCCTGGAAGAATCTGTCTCTGACTCTGGTGACTTCTATCTGTAAAGCAGGGACTGGGAATGTGAGAACTTGGAGAAAGGGGATGGATTTTGATGGCTCTTCTTTGTCTCTGTGCCCCATGAGACCCAACCCTAGAAAAAATCCAAGTAAGTCAGAATTAGCAACTAAGCACCAGGTGATTATTTATCCCATTAGAGAAGCCTTCTGGCTCTACGCGTGTCCCTTGTGTGACAAGATCATCAAAACAATCATGTGAGCACAACTTGCACTGATGGGAGACTTTTGTCTCTAACATGAGGCTCCAGGACTGAACTGATGCCCCAGCCAGCTGTGCCCTCTGAGCTCTGAGCACTCCAAACGGCTGAGCTGTCTGCTCAAAGCAGCAGCAGCTGCCTCCTGCCCTCTCCTCTTTTCCCCAAAGCTATTGTGGCTTAGAATCCTCTCTCTTCCTCACTCCAGCCCAGTCACTTTCACTGTGATGTCTTATATATGGAAACCAAGAGCCCAAGGCATGGCTTTTGATTCCTTGGAGGCTGATTATCTCCCTTAATCTTAGCTCCAGACATGGGCCAAAGTGTCATGGTTTGTCCCCCACC